TTGCTAGAACTTAGACACTTTTGAAAACCTGCTCATTTTCGATGTTCTATATCTCTGGTATTAATTGAGCCGCATTGATGTACCTTTCTATATGTAATGGGAGGACCTTCTATTTTAAGATAATAGTCTTTTCTAAGTGATACTCAGCCTGGATCCAAAGATATGGCCCTATAAATGGGACCATATTTGTATACATGTGGTATGGCAAAAATCACCCAGTTAAGGCATTATCTTTTCATTTTTAAGCAACTTTTTGAAGGAAACGTTGCAATTTTATATATTTTTGAAAAAAATCTTTGGCCACACTTTCAAGTTTAAGCAGTATTATGCAGATATTCTAATTACTTTAGAGATTATGTTCCCTGGAAGGCGATTACCCAAAAAATGCTAGAAATTGGTCAGATTTAGAAACCAGCTTACAGGTGGCTATATCTCTGCTATTTTTCGAGTTAGATCAATGAAATTTGCCAAGTTTTGAAGGTCAGATATTTGACTTTTCTAATGTGATCCATATTTCCTATATAAACGTAGCAGGAACAATTATATGCCTAATAAAATAAACATTTCCTCATATTTGTATGACACTTTTTTGTCCATCTCGATTGGTAGCAGTTTCCTCAACAATTTTAACATATTTGCATTTAAAGTTATAGTTTCCTTTGGTGTAATCATTGCACGTTAAAAATTTTGTTTGTTTTTGGAATTTTCCAATAGTTATCAACAATTATATCTCCGGCGTCTCACTTAGTTACAACTAAGATTTTTATGTTGAATTGTTTTATTTATTGTTTTTCCCCCACCAACAATGACGTATGTCTTTGTATCGCAGAATGTGTGGTTCGATAAGGCACACATGCCTCCATAAGAGGTGTGTTCCCTTATATGGGGGACTATGCCAATGAACCATTGAACGATACACATGATTCGATACCCTACACCAAAGAATGGAAAGGGTATCAAATTTCTAGATCTGTTTGAAAATTCGAGATGAATTTTGCTGAGATCGAATGAATAGATATTTTAATATTTAAGAGAATTCAATTGAGACGAAGGTGATTTTTTTAAATTTCGGGGAAATTTTCTTCATTTAATTTTTCTTTTGGTAAAAAAAAAAAAAATTATAAATAAAATTAAAAAAAATGAGAGAATCAAAATAAATGGAATTTTATAGTTCCAAAGACCATGTCGAGCTCTTCTCAGGGCATAGCATAGTAAAATTTCGCTGTCGCCGAACCTTGAGACATTTTTATTTGTAATATTTCTTATTTTTTAAATCAATTCATTCAATTAATTCAAAAAATGAATGCTGAAGAATGCATGCATGCCAACCGACTGAGAATGACAATCTTAATTTCAATTAACAACCAAATGATTTATATCATCACACATTCATATTTCAATTGGTGCCACAGAGAACGCAATAGCTTTCAATTATTTTTATAAAAATAAGAAAAAAAATGAACAATAACAAATGCTGGAAAAACGTGCCTAAGTTTTGGGAAACAGTCACGAGATGTGCCAAAATTGTAATACACTGGAAATAAGAAGATTCCCTGAAGTAAAAGCCAATTATTTAAAAAAGAAAACCCCTATTTGTAAATCAATATTCACGGCGTTCAGAGTAGGACTCGAAATATGAACTTACTTTTGATTATCGTCACTGGAAAGCACTTTTTTGAGCTGGGCTTTAGACTGGTCCGCTTCCAGCTATGTTATCAAAATTCTCTGAAAACAAGTTGAAAAGTATCAGTCGGTTTTGCCAACAGGTGTATACCCTCAGGCAATGTTCGTTTGTTTAAATACCTTTTGACATCTTTTATGATTACTCAAACGACTGGCCCTCTTCGGAGTAGGTTTCGAAGGAATGGCCCAATATTGTCCATTACATATCGGACCTAAATAAATATGATATAAATATTGCGACGTGCCAGGTTTGGGCTATATCGACTACTTGCCTCACTTTATAGGAGATATGTGATAATTTTTTGGAAAATATTAAAGTCTGACCCTTTGTGGGGCAGGTACCAGAAGGAGTGGACCGATTGAACCCATCTTCCCAGCAGATCTTGTGTTAGCAGAAATAATGTGATGTGTGAAGTATGAGGAGTACAGGACGCTTATTTCGGATTTTATGATCGTTTTGGTTATTTAAAATTCTGGCCCTTTGTGGGGGAGGTACCAGAAGGAATGGTCCGATGTCTACCATCTTTATATCAAATCTTGTGTTGATAGAAATATTGAGATGTATCAAGCCTGAATGGAATCGGATGTTTATTTCGGATTTTATGAGCTTCATGAATATTCAAAATTTTCACCCTTTGTGGGGCAGGTACCAGAAGGAGTTGACCGATATTGTCTATCTTCACACCAGACCTTGGATTTATAAAAATATTGAGATGTGTGAAATTTTAAGACAATCGGATTCTTACATCACATTTTATAACAGCTATAACTATTCAAAATTTTGCCCCTGTGTGGGGGAGGTACTTGATGGAGTGCACCGATATTGTCAATTTTCGCACCTGACCTAGCACTGATGCAAATATTAAGATGTGCAAAGTTGGAGCCAAATCGGATGATCCGTTCTCTTTCTGTGCAGTAAATTAATTTCTTTGAAAATGTTGAAATTTTGTGGGGGAGGTACCAGAAGGAGTGGACCGATATTGCCCATCTCCGAACTCGATGTAAGTTTGACAATAACATTACGATGTACATAGTTTGGATCAAATCGGATACTCCCTTCGAGAGTTATCGTGCACCTCAGGCAGAAAGACAGACGGAGGGACATCGCTAGATGAACTCCACATGACCTGAAACGGATTTGGTCCAAAGAAACCTTTGGTCAAAGAACGTTACTTCGATGAGACACATTTTGCCCTAGTCATATGGCTGAGGCTATTAAAACCTGTTTAGACACCAAGTTTGGATCAAATCGGTTACTCACTTTAAGAGTTATCGTGCGCATGAGCCAGTCGAACAGACAGACCGACGGACTGACGAACATTGCTAGATCGACTCCAAATGTCTTCAAACGGATTTGATCCAAAGAGACCTAGGACCTAAATCCGTTATTACGACGAGGCACGTTTTGGCCGCATCAAATTATATATACCCTCTCTAGTCATATGGCTGAGGGTATAAAAAACCTCATTGGGCACCCATTCCAGAATCTGCTGAGATTACAACTAAAGTTCCTATTTTTGATGAATTATTAGAAATTAACTTTAAATGCAAATATGTTAAATTCCAATTTTCGATAGTCACCCGAAATCCTTAAGCTCCTCCATGAGATGACCTGTAAATAAAAAAGAGTTAAAAATCAGAAATTTAAAAATTTGAAATATATTTACCAATATATTCTCTCCTTGTGGCCAGCCAAAATACTCCCTTTAAGAGTTATCGTGCGCATCAGCCAGCAAAAACAGACGGACCAAAGGACGGACATCGCTAGATCGATTCCAAATGTCTTGGAACGGATTTGGTCCAAAGAGACCTAGGGGCTAAAATACTAATTTCAATGAGGCACGTTTTGCCCTAGTCTTGTGGCTGATGGTATTAAAACCTGTTTAGGCACTCATTCTAGAATCTGCTGAGATTACAACTAAAGTTCCTATTTTTGATGAATTATTAAAAAGTTAACTTTAAATGCAAATATGTTAAATTCCAATTTTCCGTAGGCTCCCAAATTCCTTAAGTTCCTACATGAGATGACCTGTAAAATAAAAAAAGGTGTTAAAAATCAGAAATTTAAAAATCTGAAATACATTTACCAATTTATTCTCTCCTTGTGGCTAGCCAGAATATTGTATTTATTTTTCGGCTTTAAAAAATATCCCCCACAAATTGAACCCAGAAATCTGGTTGTTATCAAATCGCATTCGAATTCGGTGTCTCTCATTTTAATTGCAAATATCACCTTGGGATTGTGTTAATGGTTTTTGCGGTGGACGATGATCCTTTTTCTCCATTTCATTGGTCATTTGTTGCGAAACGAACAAATGTTTTACATTTGATTTCGGTTTTCCGTTTAGCAATTTCTTTCATTTTTTTTTTTTTGGTAAAGCTGGCACTAATACCTTTGGTTATTGTAGCTTCCTCCCCATTCAAACTCTAGATTACAATTTCCATGGAAATGTGTTTTATTCGCAAAGTTCTGCTTTGCATTTTTTCGCATTAATGCTGTTGCGGAAGGATAACACATTGGAGTCCTTTTTCGCAGAGGTGAGAGAGGGGGGTCATTGGGTGAATTTTTATGTTTTGGTAGAGGAAAGGCAACACCTTTTTTTTGTGGAAAGTGCAAAAAGGATATGCCGCCAAAAATTATGAATAAATTGTTGCAGGGGCTGGCGAAAAAGAAACCACTTTAAATGCCATCAGTTTGTATGGCATATTTTGTTTGTTTTTATTGTTAGGTTTTCCTGGAACTGGTTTATGCGCCATAAATCAATGCTATCTTCTTAATTTAACAAAAAATATGCTTATCAATTTATTCGGTTAATCTTTTTAAAGCGATCATTAAGATTTATACCACTTGCCTAAAGTATTTGGGGTCTTATCTTAAAATTAGGCACGATTTGGATTTCATGGCACTTCAGGTGTGAAATTTTTTGAAATATGATTTCCAAATTTTTGCCACAGTGGCTCGTGAATTTAAGCGAACCTATTAGGGTTTTTAGGTTTGGAAACTGGTCATTAGAAATATTCAAGGAAATGAAAAGGTCAGCCGATGAACTGGCAAAAAAGGGCTCGTCGTCAATAGATCTTGAGCTGGTGACACCTTAAGACCCCTTCTAAAATAATCAAACCTTCCATATTCAAACCCCGTTTGTCGACCTCTACCAAAAAAAAGTTTGGAGGCAACTTCCTCTATCCACAAAATAAGAATCATTTTCCATTGAGCTATGCTAGTCATAGCCCCTACATTTTTCAAAACGTTTATTTTCAAGTGCTCTCATTCAAAGAACCAGGTGCTCTCTAAGACAAAAAATGTTGGTGCTTTGGGGTGCAGCTATTTCAAAGAAATTTATATTTCCAAGGTCCAGGGAAATACTCCATACCAAATTACTCATTTCCCATGGCGGCTCCTCTGATTCTTGCCATTAATCCCATATTATCCAAATATTTATGCCATAGTACCTCCAAGACGAGTAGCATAAAAACCAGACCATAAACACAGGCCAGCATTATAAATAACGGAGCTGTATACTCCAAGCCGACCTGGACCAAGGCACCACTTGATAGATAACAGGGTAAACGGGTCCTCACCCAAATGCCTTGCAAGCGGCGATGTACACCGGATTCAAAGATGCGAACTTGCCTGAAAAAAAGAAGGTTTAATTATTTAAAAAATAATTTATCCTTTTCCCCTCTCTTACTTATATCTGATAAACTCAATATAGCTTGAGTTCCGATTAACATGCTCATGCAAAATCTCTTGTGGACGAAACAGAATTTCATTGAGATCGCATATTTCCTTGGCCGTATAGGTGTTTTCAATTAGACTATAACTGGAATAGGATTCGGTGACATACACAAATCCCGGCTCATCGCGTACCCGACGCACACCATCTGTTATGGGTAGCCAAATGCTTTTGGGATCCTTTTTCGTTTGGATTTTATTTCGTACCAAGGAGCGAATTTCGGGGAGTTTTGAAAACTGGAAACGTAGAAGGAAAAAAAAAATCGAAAATTAAAAAAGAAAAACAAAACTAGCCTCGAAACCTCCGAGAGAAATCAATCAATATTCCCTCCTCAATTTTCCAAATAATTTGAAATTTCTAACATTTTTCTATTTCTCTTTTCAGGAAACTTGCCAATGGCTGCTGGTATACTTTTTGTGGCCCGTCGATCAACCCCAGAATTTAACATATTTGCATTTAAAGTTATTTTATAAAAAAAAATGGGAACAACTCCTTTGAAGAAAAGTTAAATTACAAGTTGGCCGCCACTTATTGCTAGGCGCCATAGAGGAAATTCTCTTTAAAAAATCCGAACCATCAATCTTTTCCGGATTCACCAAGGATATAAACACTGAACTTAACATATTTGCATTTAAAGTTATTTTGGAAGAGCTCCCTTTAAGAATGCTTAAATTACAAGTTGGGCACCACTTGTTGCTATAGGCTCTGTAGAGGATAAACCCCTTCGAATATCCAAACGATCAATCTGCCTGATTTTTTGAGGATATAAACATATTTAATATATTTGCATTTAACGTTATTTTACAAAGAGTTTTCCTTTAAATAAATGTTAAAATTATAAGTTGGGCGCCACTTATTGCTTTAGGCGATAAAGAGGAAAATTCCCTACGAAAATCCGAACGATCATGGAGGACATAAACACTGAATTCAACATATTTGCATTTAAAGTTATTTCACAAAACACTTGGGCGCCACTTATTGCCTTATCCTTAAAATCCACGCTTTAGTTAGGGCTCTGAAAAAAATATTTTTAAAAAATCCACGCTATAATTAGGGCTTTGAAAAAATAATTTTAAAAAATCCACGCTTTAGTTAGGGCTTTGAAAAAATATTTTTAAAAAATCCACGCTTTAGTTAGGGCTTTGAAAAAATATTTTTAAAAAATCCACGCTTTAGTTAGGGCTTTGAAAAAATATTTTTAAAAAATCCACGCTTTAGTTAGGGCTTTGAAAAAATATTTTTAAAAAATCCACGCTTTAGTTAGGGCTTTGAAAAAATATTTTTAAAAAATCCACGCTTTAGTTAGGGCTTTGAAAAAATATTTTTAAAAAATCCACGCTTTAGTTAGGGCTTTGAAAAAATATTTTTAAAAAATCCACGCTTTAGTTAGGGCTTTGAAAAAATATTTTTAAAAAATCCACGCTTTAGTTAGGGCTTTGAAAAAATATTTTTAAAAAATCCACGCTTTAGTTAGGGTTTTGAAAAAATATTTTTAAAAAATCCACGCTTTAGTTAGGGCTTTGAAAAAATATTTTTAAAAAATCCACGCTTTAGTTAGGGCTTTGAAAAAATATTTTTAAAAAATCCACGCTTTAGTTAGGGCTTTGAAAAAATATTTTTAAAAAATCCACGCTTTAGTTAGGGCTTTGAAAAAATATTTTTGAAAAGTTTACGCTTTAGTTAGGGCTTTGAAAAAATATTTTTGAAAAATCCACGCTTTAGTTAGGGCTTTGAAAAAATATTTTTAAAAAATCCACGCTATAGTTAGGGCTTTGAAAAAATATTTTTAAAAAATCCAAGCATTAGTTAGGGCTCTGAAAAAAATATTTTTAAAAAATCCACGCTTTAGTTAGGGTTTGAAAAAATATTTTTAAAAAATCCACGCTTTAGTTAGGGCTTTGAAAAAATATTTTTAAAAAATCCACGCTTTAGTTAGGGATTTGAAAAAATATTTTTAAAAAATCCACGCTTTAGTTAGGGCTTTGAAAAAATATTTTTAAAAAATCCACGCTGATTTTAACATATTTGCATTTGAAGTTATTTTACAAAACGCTTGGGCGCCACTTATTGCCTTAGGCGCAATGCGGAAATATTCCTTTCGAAACTTCCTAAAATATTATTCATAAAACAATTGGCTATACTTACATTCAAATACGCCTTCGTATAGGGTATTGGCTCCAGGGCCATATCCAAATTGCTCTCGGCCAGCTGAGCCAAGCTCTTAATGTTCGACTTGACGGGGGAACCCAACAGTATGGCAACCACAATCGATGTATAATAATTATAAATAATAAAAGTCAGCAAGGAGAGCGAGAAAAATGTCATCCTGCCCCCCGTGGACTTGGGTACCAAGAAGCTACCCTGGCAACAGGCCGAACCCAAGGCCAGCAAACAACTGCTCAGCAAAGAGGGTAGGAAATTTAAATATAAACGCAATTGATGATATTCCACCACAAATGTGATCCACAAAACAAAGCCAATTAGCAGAATTATGCCACTGAAAATTAACCAAACTCTGCCGGAAAATGGTTCCAAATATACCTCACCCCTTATGCCAGCATTGCGGGGTGTACGAAAAATGCAAACCTGACGAAAATTGCCCAGGGGCATTGTTGGTTTGACATAATGCAAACGGAGTTTCGATATCAAAAACGGGGAAGAGGAGATATCGGCCGACTGGTCCATGCCCAGTTGTCCGACTACGCCGCCCGTGGCCTCGGTAACGCTCCAGGTATTGGTGTAGTTGTGGGTATACCTGAAAATTTTCAAATGAAAAAATTTAAAAAAAAACATATATTCCAAATACTCACTGGCATCCCATGTTATCCTTGAGTATCATAATATAGGCATATCCAAAACGGGCAATGGCATCCCGGTTCTTATTATCATCGCTGGCCAAGAAATCTAAAATTTTCCCGGGAGGAGTTGTAAGGGGCAAATAGGTGGTCTGGAAGAAATTTTTTGATTATTTTACTCCCACTTTATTTACTCCCCTCCATAACCTACCACCGTGGCAACTCTCATTGTAATATCCCCCAATAGCCAACGATTCTCATTCCGTGTCTTCTCATGTAAAGTGGAGAGATAACGTTTACGCTCACACCCCTTCGGAGAGCAATTGACCTCCTCGTCACCGGTCATATTTAATTTGCCACCCAAATAAAGGCCATTGTTATAGACATCATAGGTGAGATAGCTCATATTTTGGGGGCCATTGACAATTGCAGGGTTCGGAAAGGCATAGGTCACATCGGCATCCACAGCCATATTGAAATTTTCGAAAAGGCTATGAAATTTCGCAAAATCCGATTTCTCATCATAGATTAGCCAGTGGAAATGTTGGCGGAAAAGTTTCTGCTCGCTGACCTGGGGTAGAAGTGGTGGGAGAAATAAAAATGGGAATGGGAGGAAAGAGGGTAAAAAATACTAAAGGCCTATGGATAGTGGGATTCGAATATCTTCCCACAAAATCAAGGAAAATATTTTTTCCAAAAAAAAATCCTCCCACTTACCTTCCTCAAAAACTCCTCAGACTTCAGGCAATTGAAATCGAAATACACCCCCACCAAAGGTGATAGATGTTTAAAATAGGATTCCGCCATAACCTCACTTTCTTGGACATCGTTGATTTTCCAAAATTGGGCATAGATATTTTCCTTCAGTAACAAATCGGAGAGCTTAACTTGGGCTACATGGAAAAGAGATTCAGGATTTCCTTAAAAATATCATTCTTTTTTTTTGAAAAAAAAAAAAAAAAATCCCTCAGGACAACCTCTCACTTACCATTCCCATTCCAGCAATTGAAAATCAATACCCATTTCAAGCGGTTGGCCAAAAAATTATATAACACGAAATTTAGTAATGACAAATTTACCATTTTTTTCGATGCGATGGTCGCAAGGACACCCTGTGATATCCTGAGCCTTAAAATACAGACTATTTGTGGAGCAACAAATCTATGGCCTTTTTGGGCTCCTTGAACAAACAATGCTTAAGTGAGCTGTTAAAGCCAATATTTGTTTTAAGGATTTGACAAATTGCTGACAACCTGTCAAGGATGCGTTGACAGGCTAAGTAAACATTTGAATTTTTAAAAAGCGATAATTTGGCAATTGGTGGGACAGTGAGGCTCCAAAATAATTTTTAAAATACAGAAGGGAAAATAGAAAAGCTGAATTTCTTCGAAGCGAATATATATCAGAGTGAAAATAATATTTCTTTAAATCTTTTGATAAAGACTTTAAAAACTCGTAATAAGACCATTTATTCCACCTCTGCTAATGGAGCGTATGATACATGACACCACGTATACGTCACATAGTGCCATTTACAAATTCACTTGATTTAAGTCTTTAACGTTTTAAATACACAACAACTACAATAACAGAACTCTTGCCCATGAGCATCTGACCTCCTCCACTTACTTCCTATATCAACACACGCAAATGCACATTTCATTCCCCCCTTTAAAATTGAGGAGGTTGCCAAAAAATCAAATAACAGGTGGTCGAAAGTAGAAAATACCTAACCAGAGTTGCCATTTTCGAAGAGAAATTTTGGGATAATATAAAAAATTATTCAGTTTTGGGAAGGACCTTGAAATCTTAACTTTAGTTAAAGCATGAAAAAAACTTTTAAAAAATCCGTGTTTTAGTTAGGGCTTTGAAAAAATATTTTTAAAAAATCCACGCTTTAGTTAGGGCTTTGAAAAAATATTTTTAAAAAATCCACGCTTTAGTTGGGGCTTTGAAAAAATATTTTTAAAAAATCCACGCTTTAGTTAGGGCTTTGAAAAAATATTTTTAAAAAATCCACGCTTTAGCTAAGGCTTTGAAAAATATTTTTAAAAAATCCACGCTTTAGCTAAGGCTTTGAAAAAATATTTTTAAAAAATCCACGCTTTAGCTAAGGCTTTGAAAAAATATTTTTAAAAAATCCACGCTTTAGCTAAGGCTTTGAAAAAATATTTTTAAAAAATCCACGCTTTAGCTAAGGCTTTGAAAAAATATTTTTAAAAAATCCACGCTTTAGCTAAGGCTTTGAAAAAATATTTTTAAAAAATCCACTCTTTAGCTAAGGCTTTGAAAAAATATTTTTAAAAAATCCAAGCTTTAGCTAAGGCTTTGAAAAAATATTTTTAAAAAATCCACACTTTAGTTAGGGCTTTGAAAAAATAATTTTAAAAATCCACACTTTAGTTAGGGCTTTGAAAAAATATTTTTAAAAAATCCACGCTTTAGTTAGGGCTTTGAAAAAATATTTTTAAAAAGTGCACGCTTTAGTTGGGGCTTTGAAAAAATATTTTTAAAAAATCCACGCTTTAGCTAAGGCTTTGAAAAAAATTTTTGAAAAGTCCACGCTTTAGCTAAGGCTTTGAAAAAATATTTTTAAAAAATCCACGCTTTAATTAGGGCTTTGAAAAAATAGTTCCAAGAATTCCACGCTTTAGTTAGGGCTTTGAAAAAATATTTTTAAAAAATCCACGCTTTAGTTAGGGCTTTGAAAATATATTTTTAAAAAATCCACGCTTTAGTTAGGGCTTTGAAAAAATATTTTTAAAAAATCCACGCTTTAGTTAGGGCTTTGAAAAAATATTTTTAAAAAGTGCACGCTTTAGTTGGGGCTTTGAAAAAATATTTTTAAAAAATCCACGCTTTAGCTAAGGCTTTGAAAAAAATTTTTGAAAAGTCCACGCTTTAGCTAAGGCTTTGAAAAAATATTTTTAAAAAATCCACGCTTTAATTAGGGCTTTGAAAAAATAGTTCCAAGAATTCCACGCTTTAGTTAGGGCTTTGAAAAAATATTTTTAAAAAATCCACGCTTTAGTTAGGGCTTTGAAAATATATTTTTAAAAAATCCACGCTTTAGTTAGGGCTTTGAAAAAATATTTTTGAAAAATCCACGCTTTAGTTAGGGCTTTGAATAAATATTTTTAAAAAATCCACGTTTATTTTTATGTTTGCATCTAAATTAATTTTTTAAAAAGTATACCTCATTTCTTAAGAAAGTTAAATTGCACGTTGGGCGCCACTATTTGCCTTAGGTGCTAAAGCGGAAACTGAACTTAACATATTTGCATTTAAAGTTATTTTACAAAACGTTTGGAACACCTCCCTTTAAGAAAAGTTAAATTATAAGTTAGGCACCACTTATTGCTTCGTACGATCAATAATATTTTACAAAGAGTTTGGAACAACTCCTTCCGAGAAAAATTAAATTACAAGTTGGGCGCCACTTATTGCCTTAAGCGCTACAGAGTAAAATCCCCTTCGAAAATCCGATCGGTCAATCTTTTCGGGATTCATCAAGGATATAAACACTGAATTTAACACATTTGCATTTAAAGTTATTTTACAAAAAGTTTGGAACAACTACTTTAAAGTAAAATCAAATTAGAAATTGGGTGCCACTTTTTGTTTTAGGCGCTATAGAGGAAATTCTCAAGCTTTAGTTTGGGTTTTTACATTTTTTTTTAATAAATTCACGCTTTAGTTACTATTTTAAAAAAAATATTTTTAAAAAATCCACGTTCCTTTTACTACTTGGAAAAAATATTTTTAAAAAATCCACGTTTCTTTTACTACTTGGAAAAAATATTATTAAAAAATTCACGCTTTTTTACTACTTGGAAAATTTTTTTTTAAAAAATCCACGTTTCATTTACAACTTTGAAAAAATATTTTTAGAAAATTCATGCTTTAGGGCATTGAAAAAACATTTTTAAAAATTACACGATTTTTTAAGCCTTGGAAAAATGTTTTAAAATAATTTACGTTTCAGTTACGACTTGAAAAAAATTATTTGGAAAAATCCACCTTTCTTTTAAACTTAGAAAAAATTATTTTAAAAACACGTTTCTTTTAAGGGCTTTGAAGAAATATTTTAAAAAAATCCACGCTTTAGTTAGGGTTTTGAAAAAATCGACGTTTCTTTCAAGACTTGGAAAAATTTTACTTTTTATCTACGATTTGGAAGAATTTTTTTTCAAAAATCCATGTTTCATCTACGAATTGAAATATTTTAAGAACGTCCACATTTAATTCTGGACATGGGAAAATTATTTAAAAAAAAATCCACGTTTCCTTTAAGACATGGAATTTTTTTTTTTTTTTTAAATTCCACGTATCTTTTACGACTTTGAAAAAAAATAAAATCCATGTTTCTTTTAAGACTTGGAAAAATATTTAAAAAAATCCTTGTTTCCTTTACTACTTGGAAAAAACATTTTAAAAAAATACGCGTTTCTTTAAAGAGTTGGAAAAATATTTTTCAAAAATCAACGTTTCTTTAAAGAGTTGGAAAAAAATGTAAATCCACGATTTATTTAGGGCATAGAAAAAATATTTTTAAAAAAATCCACGCTTTAGTTAGGGTTTTGAAAAAATATTTTTAAAACCTCCAGGTTTCATTTACGACTTGGAAATTTGTTTTTTTTAAATTAAGGATTCTGTTGCTATTTAAAAAAATATTCATAAAAAATCCAACATATTTCCTAAATATCACTTTCTCAAAGGGCCTTTGAAAATACATCTTTTAAAAATCCATGTTTCAGTTCTCCTTGGAAAAGTCATTTTTTAAAAATCTAAAATAAAATTTTGATATTTTCGACAGATTTTCCAAAAAAATCAAATCGCAATGGCAACTCTATTGTGTTGTACACAGTTGTAGAGAGCGCCAGACATAACAGCTGTTCTTTGTTTATGCCGGTAAAAGTAAGGAAATAAAAACAGAGAACAAAAAATGGAAGTGAGAGAGTGATAAAATTGTTGTCAAGTAGGGATGCCATAGCACGAAAGCAAAAAAAACGTCAAAATGAAGTAAAATTTGAAATTGTAAACGTTCCTTTTTAGAAAAAGTAATGTCACTGTAGAATAATAGTGGCGATAAAAATCGCCAAAATAAAAAATATTGTTTTTTATTTCCAACTTTATTTTGATTTTCTACTATATAAGTAATGCTACTGTAGAATAACCAAAAAATCGACATTTTCATAAAAACGCCAATGAAAAATGATTTTCTTTTTGTTTTTTCTTTATTTTGAATTTCCACTTATTTAAAGGATCGGCTACTGTGCTAATAAAAAGAACCGGTTTATTTTTTTGGCAATGTAATGCTAACTAATAATCGCAATTTTCATTAAAAACGCCAAAATGGAAAATATTGTTTATTATTTTTCATTTTCTTCGAATTTATGTGACAGACGATTGGAATGGTAATGTCACTGCAAAATAAATTAAAAAAGTCATTTTCATCAAAAACGCCAAAATAAAAAATAATATTTTAATAATTTTTTAATTTAATTTTTTTATAATTTTTATGAATTTATGTAACAGATTATTAAATATAACGGTTTTATTTTGGGCGAAGTAATGCCACTAAAAATCGCAATTTTCACTAAAAACGCCAAATGGAAATGCTGTTTTTTATTTATTTTCATTTTGATTTTCTATTAATTTATGTGACAAACGTTTGGAAAGGTAATGCCTCTGTAGAATAACTAAAAAATCGCTATTTTTATAAAAACGCCAAAATAAAAAAATTATGTTTTTATTTTTCCTTAATTTTGAATTTATATTAATTTATGTGACAGATATAACCGGTTTATTTTTATGGCGAAGTCATGCCATTAAAAATCGCCATTTTCATTAAAAGCGCCAAAATGGAAAATATATATATTTTTTTGGTGATGTCATTGTAGAATAACTAAAAAATAGTCATTTTCCTAAAAAACGCCAAAATAAAAAAATAATGTTTTTATTTTTCCTTAATTTTGAATTTCGGTTCAATTTTGCGTAAGTAATGCTTTTCATTAAAATCGCCAAAATGGAAATGCTGTTTTTTTTATTTATTTTCATTTTGATTTTCTATTAATTTATGTGACAAACGTTTGGAAAGGTAATGCCTCCGTAGAATAACTAAAAAATCGCCATTTTCATAAAAACGCCAAAATAAAAATAAATGTTTTTTTCCTTAATATTGAATTTTTATTAATTTATGCGACAGATATAAACGGTTAATTTTTCGGCGAAGTAATGCCACTGAAAAATCGCCATTTTCATTAATAACGCCAAAATGGAAAATATTGTTAGTTATTTTTTTATGTTTTTGATTTCCTATTAATTTATGTGATAGACTTTTTGAAAGTAATGCCACTGTAGAAAACCCCTATTTTCCCTGAAAAAACTCCTATTTTTATAAAAAATCGCCAAAACGGAAATTTTTTTTCTTTTAAATTTCCAACTTTATTTTGAATTTCTACTAATTTATGTGACATACTACTGTGCTAATAAAAGTAACCGGTTTCACAACTTCCAACTATCATACCATTCCAAAAACAACATTAATTTCAATCTCATGAAACCGGTTCATAACTTGATAACCTTTCCGCCTTCATTTCCCAGCGATTCCATACAATCTCGAACAGCAGCAAAATCAATACCAAACCATAACCGCACAGCAACATCAAAAATAGCGGGGCCGTATATTCCAAACCCACGTTGATGACAAAATTATTCGAAAAACAATTCAAATGGGTGCGCACCCATTGGCGGCGATGTTTCGAATGAACACCGGTTTCCAAAATGCGAATAATTCTAGAAATAAAAAAAATAAAATTAGTTCCTCATATAAACCCCCCCCAACGTCCCCTTACTTCATCCTCACAATCTCCTTGTAGCTGGAATTCCGATGCAAATGCGTGGCCAACAGGGTATCCGAACGAAAGAGAATCTCATTTAAGTCGCATATCTCATGAGCATCATACATCCTTTCAATCAGATTATAACCCGTTGAAGTCTCAAAAACAAATACAAAACCGGGTTTGAGGCGCATTTTTATAATTCCATCACTGGCCGAATACCAAAGGCTTTCGCTGTTCTTCTTCGAGGTGATTTTGGTGCGAACGAAATACTGGACATCGGGGAGGGAGGAGAACTAAATACAAAGAGAGAAAAAGTTATTAAATCAGTTGATAAAACTTCGAATAAGTAAAGTAACCGGTTTTTATAGCCGGTTATTGTACCAAAATGATTGGTTTTTAATCCCAAAAAGCTAAATAAATCACTAAAACAGAAATTTAAGGGCTTGAAATAACTTTTTAAATCGGTTTATAGAGAGATATTTATTCGGGTAACCGGCTCTAAATGGGTAAAATTTCAACAAAAAATGATAATCACAATTATATTTGGTTGAAAGTAGTAATTTTTAGTTATTTAAAATGAACTTTTAAATGGTTACTCGGTCTTTTTCCAAAAATTTTATTCGGGTAACCGGTTTTATATTTATAAAATTATAGTATTTTAATCCTCAAATTTCTGATTAGATATTAAAAAATCATTTTTACTCGTTATCACGACCTTTTGAACCGGGTACTTAGAATATGGAAACGAGTAACCGGTTCTAAGTTGATAAAATTTAAAGGTTTTTAGTCATAACCCGTAAAACATTTAATTTTTAGTGATATAACAATAATTTATTTTAAAGTGGATAGTCAGGTTTTAAAAAAAAATTCGAGTAACCGGTTCCCAATTAACCAAATGTAAGAATTTTAAATGTAATATTCGGTTACCCGTTTTCAGATATTACAATTCAGGGATATTTAACCTTAACCTTGCAATTCTAAATCTCTCAATAATATATATTTTATGTGAATTTTACTTTGAGTAACCGGTTTCATTCGGGTAAATAATCGTGTCTTGGCTAACTAATTTTTTTTTTTTTGTTAAATATATGTATTTAACATTTTTAGATTTCTCACAGCTTGATAATCATTTTTAACTATGTGTATTTCATAAGAATTTTGATCCGAATAATCGGTTTTATTCGGGTAAATAACCGGTTTTTTGATTTAGCTATATTTTTTTTTTCTCAAAAATAGTTTACATTTCTCTTTTCCTAAATGTCTTGGGCTTGGTATTCGGTAATAGCAATCAATTGGGTGTATTTTTTTAAGAATTTCGATCCGAATAACCGGTTTTATTCAGGAAAAATAAACGGGTTTTGGTAATTAAATCGTTTTATTTTTGCCAAAAAGCTATTTAGAATTTCCATTTTTTTATTTCTATAAGCCTAGTATTCGGTTTTCCTTTTCTTTTTCTGAGAATCGATATTCGGTTATCCGGTTCCAAATATTAAATTTTAGGGATATTTAACCATAGATGTTCTTGGCAATAATAAAACGCTCAATTAATTTTATTATGTGGAGTTTGCTTCGAGTAACCGGTTTTATTCGGGTAAATAACCGGTTTTTCGTTTAAGTAAACGTTTATTTCGGAAATTTATTTTGGATTTTGAATATTTCGATTCCTTCAAGCATTGTATTTGATGAAGAAGCAATCAAATATTTTTGTATTTTCGAAGAATTTTGATCCGAATAACCGGTTTTATTCAGGTACATAAAAAGGTTTCGGTTAATAAATCGTTTTTGTTTTTTTTTTTTTTTTTTTTTTTTTTTTTTTTTTTTGAAAAAGCTATTTAGAATTTTTTTGATTTCTATGAGCCTAGTAATCGGTTTTCCTTTTCTTTTTCTGAGAATCGATATTCGGTTATCCGGTTTCAAATATTAAAATTTAGGGATATTTAACCATAGATGTTCTTTGTAATTATAAAACGCTTAATAATTTTTATTATGTGAATTTTGCTTCTTTTGTAACCGGTTTTATTCGGATAAATAACCGGTTTTTTGATTATGCTATCATTTTTTCCTGAGAAATAGTTTACATTTTTCTTTTTCTAAATGTCTTGAGCTTGGTATTCGGTTATTACAATCAATTAGGTGTATTTTATACGAGTTTTGATCCGAATAACCGGTTTTATTCAGGTAAATAAATGGGACTCGGTTATTAAATAGTTTTTTTTTCAAAAAAAAAAACTATTTTGATCTTCCATTTTTTGATTTCTATGAGCCTAGTATTCGGTTTTCCTTTTTTCCATGAGAATCGATATTCGGTTATCCGGTTTCAAATATTACAATTAAGGGATATTTCAACATAGATGTTCTTTGCAATTATAAAACGCTCAATAAGTTTTATTATGTGAATTTTGCTTTGAGTAACCGGTTTTATTCGGGTAAATAACCGGTTTTTTTGAATGGGCTATCGTTTTTTTTTCTGAAAAATTGTTTACATTTTTCTTTTTTAAATGTCTTGAGCTTGGTATTCGGTTATAGCTATCAATTAGGTGTATTTTTAAAGAATTTTGATCCGAATAACCGGGTTTAAAAATGTAAATAAACGGGTTTCGGTTAATAAATCCTTTTATTTTTTTCAAAAAGCTATTTAGAATTTCCATTTTTGGATTTCTATGAGCCTAGTATTCGGTTTTTCTTTTCTTTTTCTGAGAATCGATATTCGGTTATCCGGTTTCAAATATTACAATTCAGGGATATTTAACCATAGATGTTCTTTGCAATTATAAAACTCTTAATAATTTTTATTATGTGAATTTTGAACTTTGAGTAACCGGTTTTATTCGGGTAAATAACCGGTTTTTTTTAATAGGCTATCGTTTTTTTCTGAAAAATTGTTTACATTTTTCTTTTTCTAAATGTCTTAGGCTTGGTATTTGGTTATAACAATCAATTAGGTGTATTATTCTAAGAATTTTGATCCGAATAACCGGTTTTTTTTTCAGGTAAATAAATGGGTTTATGTTAATAAATTGTTTTATTTTTCCCAAAAGCTATTTAGAATTTCAATTTTTGGATTTATATGAGTCAAGTAGTATTCGGGTTTTCTTTTTTCCTGAGAATCAATAGTCGGTTATCCGGTTCCAAATATTAAATTTTAGGGATATTTAACCATAGATATTCTTAGCAATTTTAAAACGCTCAATAATTTTTATTATGTGAATTTTGCTTTGAGTAACCGGTTTTATTCGGGTAAAACCCGGTTTTTTTGATTTAGCTATCATTTTTTTCTGAAAAATTGTTTACAGTTCTCTTTTTCTAATTGTCTTGAGCTTGGTATTCGGTTATAACAAACAATTAGGTGTATTTTCTATAAATTTTGATGCGAATAACCGGGTTTATTCAGGTAAATAAATGGGTTTATGTTAATAAATTGTTTTATTTTTCCCAAAAGCTATTTAGAATTTCCATTTTTTGATTTCTATGAGCCTGGTATTCGGTTTTTTCCTTTTTTCCATGAGAATCCATATTCGGTTATCCGGTTTCAAATATTACAATTAAGGGATATTGAATCATAGATGTTCTTTGCAATTATAAAACTCTTAATAATTTTTATTATGTGAATTTTGAACTTTGAGTAACCGGTTTTATTCGGGTAAATAACCGGTTTGTCGTTTATTTCGGAAATTTATTTTGGATCTTGAATATTGTGATTCCTTTGAGCATAGTATTTGATTAGGAAGCAATCAACAATATGTATTTTCTAAGAATTTTGATCCGAATAACCGGTTTTGTTCGGGTAAATAACCGGTTTTTTGATTAGGCTATCGTTTTTTTTTTTCTGAAAAATTGTTTACATTTCTCTTTTTCTAAATGTCTTGAGCTTGGTATTCGGATATAACTATCAATTAGGTGTTTTTTATAAGAATTTGGTCCGAATAACCGGTTTTATTCAGGTAAATAAACGGGTTTCGGTTAATAAATCGTTTTATTTTTACCAAAAAGCTATTTAGAATTTCCATTTTTTTGATTTCTATGAGCCTGGTATTCGGTTTTCCTTTTCTTTTCTGAGAACCGCTATTCGGTTATCCGGTTTCAAATATTATATTTTAGGGATATTTAACCATAGATGTTCTTTGCAATTATAGAACGCTCAATAAATTTTATTATGTGAATTTTGCTTCAAGTAACCGGTTTTATTCGGGTAAATAACCGGTTTTTTCGTTTATTTCGGAAATTTATTTTGGATCTTGAATATTTTGATTCCTTTGAGCATAGTATTTGATTAGGAAGCAATCAACAATATGTATTTTCTAAGAATTTTGATCCGAATAACCGGTTTTGTTCGGGTAAATAACCGGTTTTTTGATTAGGCTATCGTTTTTTTTTTCTGAAAAATTGTTTACATTTCTCTTTTTCTAAATGTCTTGAGCTTGGTATTCGGATATAACTATCAATTAGGTGTTTTTTATAAGAATTTGGTCCGAATAACCGGTTTTATTCAGGTAAATAAACGGGTTTCGGTTAATAAATCGTTTTATTTTTACCAAAAAGCTATTTAGAATTTCCATTTTTTTGATTTCTATGAGCCTGGTATTCGGTTTTCCTTTTCTTTTCTGAGAACCGCTATTCGGTTATCCGGTTTCAAATATTATATTTTAGGGATATTTAACCATAGATGTTCTTTGCAATTATAGAACGCTCAATAAATTTTATTATGTGAATTTTGCTTCAAGTAACCGGTTTTATTCGGGTAAATAACCGGTTTTTCGTTTATTTCGGAAATTTATTTTGGATCTTGAATATTTTGATTCCTTTGAGCATAGTATTTGATTAGGAAGCAATCAACAATATGTATTTTCTAAGAATTTTGATCCGAATAACCGGTTTTGTTCGGGTAAATAACCGGTTTTTTGATTAGGCTATCGTTTTTTTTTTTCTGAAAAATTGTTTACATTTTTCTCTTTCTAAATGTCTTGGGCTTGGTATTCGGTTATAAGAATCAATCATGTGTATTTTAATAGATTTTTGATTCGAAGAAATTCAAGTAAATAAACAGATTTCGGTTAATAAATCGTATTTTTTCGAAAAAGCTATTTAGAATTTCAATTTTTTGATTTCTATGAGCCTAGTATTCGGTTATCTTTTTCTTTTTCTGAGAATCGATATTCGGTTATCCGGTTCCAAATATTAAATTTTAAGGATATTTAACCATAGATGTTCTTGGCAATAATAAAACGCTTAATTAATTTTATTATGTGAATTTTGCTTCTTTTGTAACCGGTTTTATTCGGATAAATAACCGGTTTTTTGATTATGCTATCATTTTTTCCTGAGAAATAGTTTACATTTTTCTTTTTCTAAATGTCTTGAGCTTGGTATTCGGTTATAACAATCAATTAGGTGTATTTTATACGAGTTTTGATCCGAATAACCGGTTTTATTCAGGTAAATAAATGGGACTGGGTTATTAAATAGTTTTTTTTTTTTTAAAAAAAAAAAAAAAAACTATTTTGATCTTCCATTTTTTGATTTCTATGAGCCTAGTATTCGGTTTTCCTTTTTTTCCATGAGAATCGATATTCGGTTATCCGGTTTCAAATATTACAATTTAGGGATATTTCAACATAGATGTTCTTTGTAATTATAAAACGCTCAATAAGTTTTATTATGTGAATTTTGCTTTGAGTAATCGGTTTTATTCGGGTAAATAACCGGTTTTTCGTTTATTTCGGAAATTTATTTTGGATCTTGAATATTTTGATTCCTTTGAGCATAGTATTTGATTAGGAAGCAATCAACAATATGTATTTTCTAAGAATTTTGATCCGAATAACCGGTTTTGTTCGGGTAAATAACCGGTTTTTTGATTAGACTATCGTTTTTTTCTGAAAAATTGTTTACATTTATCTTTTTCCAAATGTTTTGGGCTTGGTATTCGGTTATAGTAATCAATTGGGTGTATTTTTGAAGAATTTTGATCCGAATAACCGGTTTTATTTAGGTGAATTAACGAGTTTCGGTTAATAAATCGTTTTTATTTTCAAAAAAAAAAAAAAACTATTTAGATCTTCCATTTTTTGATTTCTATGAGCCTAGTATTCGGTTATCCTTTTCTTTTTCTGAGAATCGATATTCGGTTATCCGGTTTCAAATATTACAATTTAGGGATATTTAACCATAGATGTTCTTGGCAATAATAAAACGCTCAATAAATTTTATTATGTGAATTTTGCTTTTTTGTAACCGGTTTTATTCGGCTAAATAACCGGTTTTTTGATTAATCTATCATTTTTTTTTTTTCTGAAAAAATGATTTACATTTCACTTTTTCTAAATGTCTTGAGCTTGGTATTCGGTTACAAAACAATTAGGTGTATTTTATAAAAATTCTGATCCGAATAACCGGTTTTATTCAGATAAATAAACGGGTTTTGGTAATTAAATTGTTTTATTTTTCCCAAAAAGCTATTTAGAATTTCCATTTTTTTGATTTCTATGAGCCTAGTATTCGGTTTTCCTTTTTTCCCTGAGAATCGATATTCGGTTATCCGGTTTCAAATATTAACATTTTAGGAAATTTAACCATAGATGTTCTTGGCAATTATAAAACTCTTAATAATTTTTATTATGTGAATTTTCCTTTGAGTAACCGGTTTTATTCGGGTAAATAACCGGTTTTTTTATTAGGCTATAAATTTTTTCTGAAAAATTGTTTACATTTCTCTTTTTTTAAATGTCTTGAGCTTGGCATTCGGTTATAACAATCAATTAGGTGTATTATTCTAAGAATTTTGATCCGAATAACCGGTTTTATTCAGGGAACATAAAAGGGTTTCTGTTAATAAATCGTTTTTTTTTTCGAAAAAGACTATTTAGAATTTCCATTTTTTGATTTCTATGAGCCTAGTATTCGGTTATCCTTTTTCTTTTTCTGAGAATCGATATTCGGTTATCCGGTTTCAAATATTACAATTTAGGGATATTTAACCATAGATGTTCTTGGCAATAATAAAACGCTCAATAAATTTTATTATGTGAATTTTGCTTTTTTGTAACCGGTTTTATTCGGCTAAATAACCGGTTTTTCGTTTAAGTAAACATTTATTATGGGAAATTATTTTGGATTTTAAATATTTTGATTCCTGTAAGCATAGTATTTGATTAAGAAGCAATCATCAATATGTATTTTCTAAGAATTTTGATCCGAGTCACCGGTTTTATTCGGCTAAATAACCGGTTTTTCGTTAAAGTAAACGTTTATTTTGGGAAAATTATTTTGAATTTTGAATATTTTGATTCCTTTGAGCATAGTATTTGATTAAGAAGCAATCAAAAATATGTATTTTCTAAGAATTTTGAACCGAATAACCGGTTACATTCGGCTAAATAACCGGGTTTTCGTTTAAGTAATAGTTTTTTTTTTTTGAGAAACGTTATTTAGATTTCCCATCTTCTGAATCCTTCGAGTTTTGTATTCGGGTTTTCCAAAAAAATGTATTCGGTTACCCGGTTCCAAATGTTGCAATTTCCCAAAGTTTGGTCATAGAATTACTTTGAAGTAATGAAACGATCAAAAATATGTATTTTCTAAGAATTTTGTTCCGCATAACCGGTTACATTCGGGTAAATAACCGGGTTTTCGTTTAAGTAACCGATTTTTTTGTGATAATATTTTTCTGAAAATATTCATTTTCGCTCACATTCAAATAAATGTAGGTATTTGATCCGAATACCCGGTTTTATTCGGGTAAATAACCTGTTTTTCGGTTAAGTAATAGTTTTTTTTAAGAAATGTTATTTAGATTTACCATCTTCTAAATTCTTCCAGCTTGGTATTCGGGTTTTCCATAACAAAATATATTCGGTTACCCGGTTCCAAATGTTGTAAATTTCCAAATTTTTCATAGAATAACTTTGAAGCAATGCTACGAACAAAAATATGTATTTTCTAAGAATTTTGTTCCGAATAACCGGTTACATTTGGTTAAATAACCGGGTTTTCGGTCAAATAACCGGTTTTTTGTAATAATTTTTTTCTGGAATTTTCATTTTTCACTCACATTCAAATACGTGTAGGTATAGGGCAACGGTTCCAATCCCACCTCCAAATCCGAATCAGCCAATTCCCTCAGACTCCTAATTTTCGACTTCACCGGCGATCCCAGGAGCGATGAGACCACCACCGATGTATAATAATTATACATAATGAAGGTGATTATCGACAGCGAAATGAAGGCCATCCTCCCACCCCAAGAATGGGGTATTAGAAAACTACTCTGGGCACAGGCCGAGCCAAAGCTGATCAAACAAGTTGTCAGCAGCGAGGGGATATAGGTACGAATATATCTTTCCATTTCATGGTATTCCATAAAGAAGGCCAGCCAAAGGAGTACTCCAGCCAATATTAGAATGCAGCCGAATAGAATCCAAACCTTTGTACTGAAAGGCTCTAAAAATACCCCACCATGCATGCCAGAATTTCTCGGGGTACGAAACATACAAACCGAACGAAAATCCCCAGTGGCTGCCAGTGAGGAGAGAAAACGAAAGCGGTTGGCTGACATGAAAAATGGGGCCGAGGTCAGATCGGCTGTCTCGTTGACCAAGGAACCCACAATTCCTCCCGTGTACTCCACATCGGTCCAGCGATCGTAGTAGGTGTAACTGACACTGGAAGGAAGAGAGGGAAGAAGAGAGAGGGAGAGAGAGAGAGAGAGTGAGAGAGAGAGAACAATTTTTTCGGGTTTTCACAAAGAAGAAAGCGAAAGAAGAGAGAGAGAAATAATTTTTTTCGGGTTTTCACAAGACTCCTTACTTGGTATACAGCGACTCCTGTAGCAGCCTCAGCACCTGAAATCCCAGCCTAGCCAAGGGGTCAATGTGAAAATCCTCCTGGGTCAGTAGAAAATTATTTATCTCCTCCGGTGGGGCATCTAAATCGTATCGGGTCACCTGAAAAAATATTTTCGGTATACTATAAGTCTCTTTCGTTTTTCCCTCTCTTACCACCACGGCCACCCTCATGACCACATCCCTTAGAGCCTCCCGATTTCCCGTGAGTGAGCGCTTGTGCAAATCCGTCAGAAATTTCGATTTATAACAGCCCTCCTTGCCACAACTCAATTCAAAATTGGAGCTAATATTCAATTTTCCACCAATCAACCATCCATTGTTGTAGACATCGAAGGCCATGTAGAAGGATCTGCTCAAATTCCTCATGCCCATTTGATCCTCCCGTGGGACCATAAAAGTGAGATGTGTGTCCACCGAAAGATTGGCGTCTTGAAATAATTTATAGAAGCGACTCATATCCGAACGCTCGTCATAGATCAGCCAGTAGTGATGCTGATTGAAGAAACGTATTTGGCTGGTCTGCAGGGGAGCAGAAAGGATAATTTTTGAGATTTTTGGAGAGAGAGAAAGAGAGAATTTCATGTTACCTTTTCAATAGCCCTCTCCGTTTGATTACAATTCATATCCAGGAAGACCCCTATTTTGGGTCGCCGGTAACGCAAATAGGCATAGGCCATGTCCACAAGGGCTGTGGGATCATCCAAGCTTACATATTGGCCATAGAGGTGTTGTTGGGAGGCAGCCATGGAAAATTGAGAGAGGACTGCAAAATGAGAGGCAGAGAGAGAGAGGAATATTTTTATGGAAGAGAAAAATATTTTTCCTTAATCCTCTGCCAATTCAAAATTCCGAATTTTTAATTTTTTTCCAAGACCCTTGACTAACGTAAATTTTTCAGGAAATATACCTACTCGGACCTTGGGCTAACGAGATTTTTATACCCTTCACCAAAGTATGGAGGGTATATTAAGTTTGTCATTCCGTTTGTAACACCGTCTATCTGCCTGCACCTCTGTGGAAATCAGTCTAGCTTCCGCACGAAATGAAGTAGGTTGATAAAATTTTGCTCAAATCTATGGTATGTCTGCAGGACTTTTGGTATTGAAAATGGGCCATGTAGGTCATGTAAAATAGCCCCCATAGAACGCTACCTCCCGATATTCGGTATTTAGATGATTCTAGCTACATTTTTCAACGGAATTGTTTCAAATTTGGTATGTGAAGTTCGTAATGGATAATACAACCTACGACAAAAAATTATATGTGCAGATCCACGTCTTCCTATAGCCCCCATATAACGCTACCTCCCGATTTTCGATATTTTGATGATTTTAGCGACATTATTCAGCGGAATTGTTTGAAATTTGGTATCTGAAATTCGTAATGTATACGACTGCCTATGACGGAAAATTGTCTGTGCAGGTCCACGTCTTCGTACAGCCCCCATATAGCGGTACCTCCCGATATTCGGTATTTTGATGATTTTAGCAACATTTTTCAACGGAATTGTTTCAAATTTGGTATTTGATGTTTGTAATGGATGCTACAGCCTGTGACAGAAAATTGTCTGTGCAGGTCCAAGTCTTCATATTGCCCCCATATAACGGTAACTCCCGATATTCGGTATTTTGATGATTTTTGCGACACTATTCACCGGAATTGTTTCAAATTTGGTATTTGAAGTTCGTAATGGATACTACAGCCTATGACGGAAAATTTCGTGAGCAGGTCCACGTCTTCGTATAGCCCCCATGTAATGGTTTTCATTTAAGTGGGGTAGTTTTCGGAATTGTTATGAAATTTTTCAAGACCCTTCCAAATGGTGGAGGGTATTAAAAGTTCGGCCCGGACGAACTTAGCTTCTTTATTATTTTTATTTTTTGTATATTTTTATTTTTTTTTCATTTATAATTTTTTTTATTTTTTTAATTTTTTTTTGTATATTTTTTTATTTTTATGTATTCATTTTCAATTTTATTTTTTTATTTTATTATTATTTTTTTATTTTTATTATTTTTTTTTCTTTTTTTTTCATTTAGAATTTTTTATTTTTATATTTGTTTTTATTTTTTTATTTTAATTTTTTTTCATTTATAATTTTTTATTTTTTTGTAAATTTTTTGTTTTTTTATTTAATATTTTTATTTATTTTTTTGGTATATTTTTTTATTTATTTTATTTTGTTTTATTTATTTATTTATTTATTTTATTTTTATCTTTTTCCTCATTTATAATTTTTTATTTTTATTTTTGTTTAATTTTATTTTTTTATTTTATTATTATTTTTTATTTTTATTTTTTTTTTCTTTTTTTTTCATTCAGAATTTTTTATTTTTTTATTTGTTTTTATTTTTTTTTTTTTTCATTTATAATTTTTTAATTTTTTTTTTTTTTTTTTGTAAATTTTTTGTTTTTTTATTTAATATTTTTATTTATTTTTTTATTTATTTTTTTTATTTATTTTATTATTTTTTTATTTTTATTTTTTTTTTTTCATTTATAATTTATAATTTTTTATTTTTTTGTATATTTTTTTATTTAATATTTTTATTTAATATTCTTATTTATTTATTATTATTATTTTTTTTTTTTTTTTTTTGTTTCAAGGCCTTTGAAAAAACATATTTTTTCAATATTTTTCCCGAGAGCTTGTGACTTACATTCCTGCGGCCAGCACTGAAACACCACCACACAGGATAACTTCAAATCCACAAAATTATATAAAATCATGTTTATCAAATGGATATGCAACATTTTGAAAATTTTCCAAAAAATAAAATTAAAAATATTTCCGACAAAATTCCAAAAATTTCGAACAACCGCAAAACAATTTTTAATCTTCTTAGGGCTTAACCTCTCTATTTATACCCCTCCAAAAATCATTCTCAGTTATTACTTTATTTATAAATAATGCCTTGTGACAGGTCAAATTGGCCAAGCCGAAGTTCGATGACAGCATAATTAAGTTGCCATCAAACCTGGCGGTTGGATGAGTCACAAATTACCTACCGGCATTTGGGACTGCATTCTGTGAAAAAATGAAGCCATCAAACGGTGAAAGTTGTCATGTGTCTTCCGCTAGACCTCTGCTAATAAAATATTCCGCAACAGAAAATAAATATCCAAAAAGCCGATAATACATGGCCTCACCACCCCCCCCCCCCCCCTACTTTTCTTTTAACAACATCAACAGGTTTTGGAATATATGCGGCATACTTTTAGGCGCCATATGATTTTTTTTCTTCTCCCCCCCCCAATCATGTGATTTGGTTTGGTCTCATCAAACCTAGCGGTTTGCCTCCCGGCATTTGAGACTCTATTCTGTGACAAAGTGAAGACATCAAATGGTAAAAGTTGTCATGTGCGTTCCGCTATACCTCTGCTAATAAAATATTCTTGGAATCCGAAAATAAATATCTAAAAAGCCGGTAATCCCACCCTCATTCCTTTGAACAACGGCAACAGGTGTTGGTATATATGCGGCATACTTTTAGGCGCCATATGACTTTTTTCTCCTCCCCCAATCATATGTTTTGTTTCGAGTTTGCGCTTTGTGAAATATATTTCCCGCCAAAAATTTTGCAATTTATGAATGAAAATAATTTTGAAGGGTGTTACCGTGGCTGTGGGTGGGTGGGATGGCCAAAGTAAATCAAGTCTTGTTTTGTCTGTCGCCAGTGCGTTTTTTGTTTTTTGCTTTATTTTTGCTGTCATTATTCAAAGTTATTTGCTCAGTTATGGGTTCTGTAATAATCGGGTGCATGTTCAGTCTTCGAGGCGCTTTTGGCGCGTTAAAACGTGGTTTACGGGTTTTGAGCAAACGAAAAAAATAAATAAAATACAAATTGTGTTCAATTTTGAAAAAAAGTAATGAATTAAGGAATACCGACGGCAATGGGTTAACAACTGTGAAATGTGATATTGAATTTTGATTTTTTTGGAAAATAAGCGGAAATCTTAAAAATTATAAAATTGATAAAAACTAAAAAAAAATCAAAAATAGGAAAAATAAAAATATTTGAAAAAAAAAAAAATAACAAAAAAAAATTTTTTTTTTAAATCCATGTTTCTAATAGATCCTAAAAAAGTAATTTTTAAAAAACCTACGTTTTGAAAATGTCCCAAAAAATGATTTTAAAAATCCAGGTTTCAAATATGGAGTGGAAAAAATAAATAAATAAAATATTTTTTTTAAATCCACTTTTTTTATATTAAAAAAAAATATATTCTTAAAAAATTCACATTTCTAAGCAACCCCTGAAAAGTATTTAAAAAAAAACCAAAAATTGGAAAAAAATATTTTCTGTATCAGCCACAAATAAATATTGTTTCCAATCGAAAAAATATTTTTTTAAAAAATCAACGTATGTTGATATTTACAAAAATATATTTTTTTTATTTGAATTCCTTAAAAAATTTTTTTTTTTTGAAAATCCACGTTGGTGAATAGTTAAAAAATACTTTTTAAAAAATTCACGTTGGCGAATTCTAAACAAAAATATAAATTTTTTTTTAAATACACGTTGCTGAATTCTTGAAAAAATATATTTTTTAAAAATCTACGTTAGTGAATTCTTAAAAAATATTTGTTAAAAATTCCCCTTTGGTGAATGTTTTTTTAAAAAAACCACGTTGGTGAATTCTTTAAAAAAAAATAAAAAATCCACGTTTGTTGATATTTTGAATATATTTTTTCTAAATCCACCTTTGTTGATATTTTGAATATATTTTTTCTAAATCCACCTTTGTTGATATTTTGAATAATTTTTTCTAAATCCACCTTTGTTGATATTTTGAATAATTTTTTTCTAAATCCACGTTGGTGAATTCATTAAATTTTTTTTTTTTTAAAAATCTACGTTGGTGAATTCATTAACATTTTTTCTTAAAAAATCTACGTTGGTGAATTCATTAAAATTTTTTCTTAAAAAATCTACGTTGGTGAATTCATTAAAATTTTCTTCTAAATCCACGTTTGTTGATATTTTGAATATTTTTTTTTTTAATCTACGTTGGTGAATTCATTAATTTTTTTTTTAAAAATCCACGTTGGTAAATTCTTTAATTTTTTTTAAAAAAATCCACGTTGGTGAATTCTTTAAAATATTTTTTTAAAAAATCCACGTTGGTGAATTCTTTACAAAATATTTTTAAGCAACCCACGTTAGTGAATTCTTTAAAAAAATATTTTCAAGGCATCCACGTTGGTGAATTCTTTAAAAAAAATATTTTTAAGACATCCACGTTGGTGAATTCTGTAAAAAAATATTTTTTTTAAATCCAAGTTTGTTTAAAATTTTATGAAAAAGTATATTTTTGGATATTCCGCGTTTGTGGATACTTTGAAAAAATATTTGTGAAAAAATCCACGTTCGTCGATATTTAAAAAAATTAAATCCACGTTATTGAATGCTTTGAAAAAATATTTTTAAAAAAATCCACGTTTGGTAAAATTTTGGAAAAAAAAAATATTTTTTAAAAAACCGCGTTTGTTAAAATTTAAAAAAAAAAATAT